GGGGGGGGGGGGGGGGGGGGGGGGGGGGGGGTTCTTTTTTGGTAGATTTTGCCAGACCTTGAATCACTTGGTTGGACTTGGTCCTGACAGCCGTGGCGCCCTTGAGCTTGGGACGACTTGCCTCGCCAGGCCCGGCGGGAGAAGCTGCAGCACCTGGTGCTGTGGCCAAAGCTGAACTCCGGGAAGCTCTATCAGGTCCTGATGAGGGCTGTTGTTCGGTGCACTGGGGCCAGGCATGGAAGAGATCACATTCATGGTTGCAAGATGGACTTCTCTTGAAGCACATCTGGTTTTACGTGTTCTGTGTGCAGTGACGGTCGCATATCTCATTTTTGAGAAGCAAGATCCAGTGCAACATGAAACGTTGTGTGGTACCGCACGTTTCTTCTCGAACATGTTGATGCAATTCATTAGACATGTGGCTTGCGAGTCTGTCTCAATGTCGCTCTCTTTGAAGTGCAAAAGCTTCACACAGTGGCCTTCACATTTCGAACCGTTTCTCTGTCGAAAACATCTGGCCAATTTCAATCAGTAGTGAACTGTGCACCTGCACACCAGCCAATCTACCTTTCAACCGCTTTGCCTAAGTCTACATGTATCATCGGTAGAAAGAAAGTGTGTTAACCCAGAGTTGGAAGAAGCCTGGAACCGGATGCAGGTGACGGTGGCAGATGTCCATGAGTTGTTCGCCATCTTCGATGTGGAAGGCCTGCTGAAAGTGATTAGAACCTGCAGCACAGGCATGCTATTGTGACATGCAAGCTTCACAGATCTGCCCGTCCGAATTTCCTGGGTTTTGCCATCTTGGTTACTAGCTGAATTCCGCGACAGTTCTTCATTTGGAACCTTTCACTGCCACATATGGCATGAACTCTTCTGAAAGGGTCCGGTGAGATTTCCATGGAAGAGCTTATGGAGATCAAGAAGGCAGGGAGACAGGCCTCGTGCTCACGGCCCACGGTGCTGTCTGAAGGTCCAAGGCCTCACCCTCTCCAAGGAAGACATTGCCGCACTAGGCTGCCTGTCGAGAGAAGACCACCGGCCACCTAAAGCTACAAGTAGCGGCAGCTCTGTTCAGCTGACGGCGGCAGCCATCAGCTTGCAGGCATCGAGCTTTCTATGCAACTGAGAGTCTTCAGATTTTGAGTTAGCAGTTAGCAGTCAGCATCCTACTGTATGGTCCTCATGCGGACTCATACGGATAATGCATTAGGACGAGATGCGGACAAAGATGGCTCTGGTCTCATCAGTGTGAATGAGCTCTACAAAGCCTTCATCCAAGGGGAGGCCAGAGCTCTGTGAAGGCGAGTCGGCACGGCCCGGGCTCGCCTCTTTCGCCTGTCTCGGAGGTTGCTTACAACTTGATAAAGAAGTCCATCAATGAAGAGAACGATGTGCAACATCTCGCAGAAGGGGAGCCTTGCCCTGTTCTCTCGGGCCTGTTGAAAGGGAGATGTAAGGCCTGCGCTGCCTGCACCTCTGGCTGCCGAGGAGTGCTTAATCGATGATCTTATCGAGTGGATGAGGCCCCCTTTCCCAGTGAGTGGCTGGTGCAAACATGTCCGACAACCACTACAAGCTGCTGCAGTCTATCAGTTCAGACAGTTCAGACTAAGTCCTAAGTTTAAACGATGGACATCACAATTTCAGACAGATGACGAGGAAAAGGTCGGGTCAGTCCAGTTCCACATCGTGCAGTCTTGGTTCAAAGGGCGCATCACAGCACTTGCTTGTGGAAGCTGGTCTCACAGGCAGGAATACGACATCAATGCTGCAACTTGGTTCAATGCAGGAGAGACGAAGCAGGACATCAATGATGAGGTCTGACGATGTCCAGCATATTGCTTGCGTGTTTGCCGATCGAAGTCCGATGTCAAGTTCTCGCTCTAGCTTGGGCTGAGGACCTTTGGTCGTTGCCTCAAACGCTGCTGCTCTTCTGCGTCTTCCTCTACACAGGCAGCGCTCACTTGCCCGTGCGAGACCTGGCCGCAGATGTCGTAAGCATAGTTCGGATCCCAATGCTGGAGGTATGCTGCACCTGCGTTGCGATTTGCACCTTCCCAATCCATGTGTTGTATTGCTCCGACGGATTGCATCGTGCTCAGGATCTGGCTGGGAGATTGCTGAGAACTATCCAGACACCTGGCCGCATGCAAACCTCTCCGGCCCCATCCGTTAGTTCGAGCCCACTTGCTTCCGCTGTCGAGGCTTCAGCAGTCTTTGGTTGTGCCCTCAGAAAAGAATCGAGAAATCCAGAATCGGCTTGGAAGCTCTAGCGGAAGACGTGGCTGAGAGGTTACTACAGGCTCTCGTGGTTGTATGACAGATTGTCACTGTACGATTTCCTGGCGACCACCTGGATCGCCCAGCATCTCAATCAGGACCCTGACGTCAATGAACGAATTGAAGCGTCCGTCAGGTGGTTTCAAGCAGGAAATGTGCGGTGAGTTCGGTTTCGTGACATTGCGAAGGACCTGGCTCTGTACCCGCCCGGGCGCTACTTCGGTCGGAACCAAGTGATCGGCGGATTCCGCTTCAGGCCAGGCCAGGCTGCCCCATGGAATGTGGCAGTCACAGAGCGTGCAGCACATGCAGCATGTGGAATGTAGAAACCCCGCGGCTGCAAGCTTTAAGTTCAGGCGGTTCTACACGACGCCGCAAAACTGCAGCATGCCGGAATACTTGGAACGGAGTCTCCTCTGCAGTGGAGGCTCTGTCCAGAAGATGCCCAGAAGCTCTGGGCAAGATGTGCGGAACGGCGCTAACACTTCTTGTGGCTGTGGTCGTGCCTCAACGTGCATCCTTGAAGTGGCAAAAAACCAAGGGTCTACTATCCCTTTCCGCAAAGACTCACCGAGCCTTGCCTGAGAAGAAGTGACCGAAGGGCTCCGGTTTGACGGAACGTGGCTCTCAGGTGCAATGCTTCAAGCTGAGCAGCGAATCCTACGAGGACAGGTGGGTCTTATACCATGAACGACGCTCGGCTGCGACCTAGAGCAAGACTAAGACTCGCCCCCCAGCCATCCCCAGCCTGCGAACATCATCAGAGATATTCCGGGAGTTCTGAATTAAGGCATTTTCCAACATTTTTCAACTGCACTGGCATTCCAGATACTGGTTATTTATAGCTGTAGGATGTTGTAGGAAGCATTCCGGTAGAATAGTCCAGAGCAGGGGTGCAGAGTCATGATTGCTTGGCTTGAACATGCTCATTTGTCTTGCTCCAGGAAGCGACTCAGTCAAAAGAACGATGGACGAGTGGACCTACAGCAACTGGTGCCTTGCAGCGTCTTATTGTCATGCGGTTTTTACCATGCTAAGGTCTGCGAAAGGTCGCAACATTGACTGCACATGCCACAGTAATGCACCAAGCGCAGCAATAATGCGAAGAGATGAAGGAAAGCCAAGGGGACATTCGCGATGTCTAGATTCCCCAATCTGCAAGGGTTGGGTCTTAGCAACTCACTTGATTAAGCCCAGGTTGGATGACAACACGACTGCTCTCAATATTGATTCCGTCCTCCTGAATCCGGTTCTGGGCACGCATCTCCGCCAATCGAGTCGGGATGGTTTACGTTGCCTGAGATCCTGAATGGCTAAGCCACCTGAACCTTCGTAGCAGCACTTCCGAAACCACGCGCAGTGCAGGTCGCCTCGCAGCCAGGCTTGTGGACTAGACATGCCCATGTGGTGGGATAAGGTACACATTCGAGCAGCTCACGTTCAGATTCGAGAACAATGGCCGCTCGTCACGGTTACAAAGCAGTTGATGCGAGAACTACCAAAGGGTGACGGAGTCGATGGTGCCTGAAAGGGAGTTGGTCTAGGAGTCTACTTTGGCACGCCCTCGATGCACGTTGATAGTCCTTCCTGCTCTGCGCATGCAATTTTGGGAAGTTGTAGTGCCGAACCACACATGTGCCCTCTGCCGATCTCAAGACGGTGCTCAGGCTTCACGAAACACGTGCAGTTTGCAGAGACATTTCTTTCGGAGCCGTACAAAGACTTGTCTGGCCTCGTGCCGGACGTGCTGCTTAGTGGCAACTTCACGGCTTTGACTGTCTGTGAACTTAGCTCTTTCCTTAGTGGCCCTGTGCCCCATGCAGTGCAAGCTGCTTATTCCGAGCTCCTTAGCATCATTTTGTTACCAGACTTTGGCCAAGTCTTCCGTGACACACGACCTCGCATATGCGAGAGCGGGTCAAACGTCACTCTGTGTTTCTTCTAACATAATGCCCTGGTTTTCCTGTGGAAATGCACGGATGCCCACATCCCTCTTCGTTTTTGTTTTGACCTCCTTGCACTGATCTCTGCGGCCGCAAGCCCGGGGCAGCAAAAAGTCGACAGTCCGAGTCCACGCCTCTTGGCGTAAGTCCAAAACTCGAGCCTGTCACGTCGACGCCTCCATCTGTCGCCCGTGGTCAGACTATGCTGCCTGTGCGATATTACTTCTGTAGCAGCCTTTTGTTTCTTTTTTGTTTTTTGCTTGATTTTTTTTGCTGAGATGTAATTTTTTTCCTGCTTGCTGTCCCCTCCCCTCCCCTCCCCTCCCCTCCCCTCGCCTCCCCTCCCCTCCAAAGATGCAAACCCTAAGGAGTAAACCCCGCAGGAATCTTTGGCCGAGGGCGACAACCCTAAGGAGTATACCCAGCAGGAAGCTTCCACCAAAGACGAAAACCCTGAGGAGTAAACCGCGCAGGAATCTTTGGCCGAGGAGTAAACCTATCAGGATCTTTGGCCGAAGGCAAACCCTAAGGAGTAAACCCTGCAACCTGCTGGAACATAGACCTTCATCCAGATCGGCTACTGGCATGTGAGAAGGGGACGCCTGTAACAATCCTGTAGGCAGGCTTTGCTTAATTAGTGGCACCGGTGCTTAGTGGCCTGCTGAGCTGCTGCTAGAACTTCGCTTTCGTTTATGTCTTCCTGGGGCCAGTGCTAAATCATTGGCTCCTCGACTGGTGTTCTTCGGAACGGCGAGTACAGACAGGCATGTGTTTGACTGCTCCCACCATGAGTGCTGGGCCTGGTTGTAACCGAGTTGAATCGGATGTGTTTGGTAGAGACGTGACGGCAACCGACCGCCACGCAGCAAGTGTGCTTTCTGCTTCCCAGCGCGTCCGTTGCTCCGGCCGGAGACTGCCGAGCGTCAGGACGCATGAGGACAACCATTTGCACAATGCCTTCTGCGGTCTTCCACCTGAAGGTCTTATGCACATCTACGACACCGTTGGCGCGGTCTTCGCTGGTGATGCTGCTGCCCTGTGAGCTGACGCAACGCCCTTTGGCGACACGACTGATGGCACTGGCCGAAGACGAAAACCCTAAGGAGTAAACCCAGCAGGAACTTTTGGCCGAAGACGACAACCCTACGGAGCCCCGCATGAACCTTTGGCCCCAGCATGAACCTTAGGAAGCACGAAATTTTGCGAAAGACGAGAACCCCCCGCAGGCTCCGAAACAGAGCAGAAAAAGCAATAACTAAGATGCGTGTTTTGCCACCCTCTGCAGAGATTCGTTGTTTACAATCAGGACAAAATAGTTACAACTAAGACGTTTTGTTGAAAAGCACAAAAGTCACATCTAAGCAAAAAAAAGGAACAACTAAGCTGTCTAGCTATTACATGCATTTATACAGGCAGGCCTTATTGGACCCGGCCTCAATATTGTTAGCCCACAGAACCCGGTGGTTGCCAAAGCCTCGCTCCGTAGCTGTCTGTTGAATAAAGAAAGCCACGGGCAGGCTGTTCATGCTCATCTTGATGCGCATCCTGTATTCAGAGATCAAAGAACTGCTGCCGGCTCTCTCGTCACTTGGCTTCTCGAGCATCCGTCCCCTGTGTACAAAGACCTGGGCTGCTCCTTGCTTCATTACACAACAGTCTGAAGCGTGCTTCTCCTTCCCTATCAGATGAACTTCGGGAACTCAGGATCGGGTTTGATGGTATCATGAACTACCTGCAGTTCTGGAACATTGTGGCTTGGCGATTCCTGACAGGTTTCGATTCACCGTCATCACGAACCGATTCAGCCTGGGATCCTTCTGGACAGATTTCTACAAGGCTGAATACGGACACACTGTAGGATCCGTTGCAGAGGCAGCAAGATCCGTAACGAAGCATTCCAGTTCCATGGTCATGCCGCGATTCGCAAGACTGCCAGCCCTACTTAGGTGGATTGGCTGGCTATCTTTTGGGGGGCAATCTGTGCTCCCGTCGACTTGCTCGGGAGTATTTGATGGAGCTTTTCGGTTTTTGAGCTCAGGTAGATGGACAGGAGTCATTACCCAAGGGCAACGTTTGCGTGCATGTGTCGTGTGCTAGAACCGAAAGAGTATCATTACACAGATCTACGAGGATGCCGTGAGACCATATGCAATCTCTAGCGGCAGCACAAGAGTCACGCTGAACAAGTTTCCCACACTGACATGATTTGTGACTTTTTACCAGGCGCTGGACTCTGGGTCGTCTTTTGCATTCATCTCTCCATGGTGCAGCCCCGAATCGTGTGCTGGACCGCAGGCAGTGTATAGCTGTCTGTTCAATCAAGGCGAAAGGTCTAAGACAGTGTGTAGGGGTAGCAGAGAGGTGCCGGCAGGCCCAGCATTCACAACAAAGGAGCAGCTCCCTTTGCGACAGATGGACCAAATTGTGCCTGGGACGAGCTACATTGGAGCTTTGCTAGTGCAGAGTTTGCAGGGTTGTCGTCCTGTCGGCCCGTGGATCACGGCTTGAGAAGTACAGGAAGCTAATGTCAGACCGCTTCTCGGCGACATGTAGGGTGCAGTGTTCTTGACGACATGCTCCCGCTGACACGATCCGCTTGTGCATGACCGGGAAGTCTGGTGTCTCGGCCCGCCGGGCAGTTTATGACTGCATGGCACAGATAGACAAGGTTTATGCAAACAACACCTACATGCAGAGATGGGAGGCTGCACGGATGCAAGCTTTTGCTTCTGGGATCGAGTTCTCTTCGCAGGTTTCCGACTTGTCTCTGTTGAGCCCACAAATCGACCTGCGCTTTTAGTAGTGACCGTGACGGGCAAAGTATGAACGTCAGGCAGACGAGAGCTGTCAAAAGCCAGTGGAGGGTACGTGCAGCGGTGTTGCCTCCGCGCTGATGAGGTGAACATCATGATGCCACGGCCGGAGTATGAGGCCCTGTTGGAGAGCATGATGCAGGCATGCCAGGCCGGTCCGCAGAGGGGGCCTAGGACACCAGGCGAACTCGGATCTCAAAACATTCCGGCATTCGTTTGAGGATGCTTCCATTTGGCATGAGGCAGTACGAATGGCCGCTCGACGCCAAAATTTCACAACAGACATTTTTGTGTCTCTGTGGGGGTGGATGATGGGTCTCCAAAAAGCGCTTTAAAAAACAGCTGTCATCCTTACAGCAACCAAGCTCTGCGTCTTGTACCTCTTCGTCCTGATGATGAAGTTCTTCAAGTCGCTTGGTCTCAGCACGTACGCGATTCTTTAGTCGATAGCATCTTTTGTGGGAGGGCTTCAAGTCTTGGGCTTGGTCCCATTCTGACGGTCCGGCTCCGAGGTCCTTCAAGGCAAATGCTCAGCTGGACGTTGTCATCACGACTTTGTCGGGCTCTGTTAAAGAAGCTGGGACTGGGACTTCATGCTTTGCCTTGGCTGTGGTTCTCGACATCTGACTCAGGATGTGTCTCACTTTGCTATTGTCTTCTTCACCATCTTCCTCTGCCCCTCAGTTGAAGATTAGGGAGACTAGATTGGCAGGGAGTGGAGGCTGCTGTAGATGTCTTCCGATACTCGGTGCTTTGGGGGCTCTCTTGCACCGAGCAAAGCTACACTCATGTGTTCCAGACCAGGCTACGCTTGGAGCGGTCATGTTCGAGCCCCAGACATTGGCTGCCGTCGGAGTTTGCGACATTCCAGAGTTCTCAGTGATGGGGGGCCGGCAGATGTTTCAGCATGTCCTAGTCCTAGCAAGCCTGCACATGAAAGTCATGGCCTAAACAGCGCTTCGTAACTTGGAAGCCTGCTTCAAAACCTCGAAAGTCGCTGCGATTCTCCCGAGATCTTCTTCGGGAAGTCTACGGAAGGCTGCAGCACGCTGCTCGGCCAGGAGATCCTCCTGCGATGTGAGCATCCTGGAAGTTCCTCCTTATGCCCTGTTGTGGACAGCAATGTGGTAAAGCCTGCGTCGCGAGGCATGGCAGTATGACGGGAATCCAGGACCCTAACCTAGCTCTAATGCAGAATCCAATTTATGAGGACCTCTGGTAAGGGACCTTATTCTGGGCACACCATGTTTGGTCGTGCCAAGGATGCTGGGTGCCATCTTCTGGCGCTGGTCCAGTGTTCGGGCATGAACATCACACCTCCGTCTTTGACAGATGGGTCCTGCATCACACTGTGGACTCGTGAATAAAGTCGATGAGCTTGATGTCAGGTCGTGTTACAGCTTCGTGAATTTCATAACTTCAAGCATGTTCCTGTTGCGATGCCGCGCATGCCTTGCTTTGCTTTCTATGTAGTTACAATGAGTGCAAACGTGAAAATCCACCATCACCTTCCGGAGAAGGACAGAATGCGAAATTTGCAGGTGCTGTCTCTTGTTGATGGAGATGTTGACCTTGCTCCCCCGTTGTATGCAGTTTCAAGCTGCACTCGAGATAATGCATCTATGTAGGGTTACATCATCGCCAGAGACCCAACGTACAAGGGGCGCATCAAACATGTTGGCTGCATGAGTTCAAGATCCGCGGGTCATGCAGGATTGAATCCCAGTTGCAGACCCATCTACCTGTGTACCATGGCTTTGTAGCCGACCAGACACTATTCCTGAAGGCTAGGTGTGTCCGAAGCGGAGAAAGCATACCTTGCGACGGATCTTGGGGCTGAGGTGGTGTGGGAGTTGGCGACATGGAAGACCTCGATTTGCTTGGCCGAGTCCCGTGCTTGAACAGGAGTCCGCAGCATCGGCATTCTGCATCACAGGAGTGCTCGATCCGTGACGCTCGCAAGTGAGACGGTAGTTTCCATCTCCCATACTGAGATCCTCGGCTACACCTACACTTTATCGTACGAGTTCTTGGTGCTGCACTCAGCTCGCACAGGGAGGCTCGGAAGCAACAGCATGCCATGTCGCAAGACTTTCAGGCCGCACTCGAGGGGCCATAATATTGACCCCCGGCCATGTTACAGCCGACTCTATCAGCATGTGTGGTTGTTGCTCCGAAAGTGTTCAGCAACGAACACTGGAGCAGTCTTGACGTTGCACAAACGAGCCCGACTAGCTGCTGCTGGCGTCAAAGCATTGTCAGCTCCGCCTTGTATTTGAGTGTCTCTCTTAGTTTTGGAGGCAGTTCGGTCTGAGGCGGACAGGAGTTCCCGAAGAAGGTGTGCCGTCTCCCCTCTCAACTGTCTTGGCGATTCTCTGGTTTGCTTGGGGCGCAAGGGTGAGGTCTTTCCCCTTCGGCTAAGAGTTCCTGACGTACAACCTGAACCCGTGTGCCGATACGAAAACGTTTCACACGCAGCATGGAGTAAACGTAAGACGTGACGCCTGCTTCACAATCTGATGAGACCGGCTTACCGAGGTGCCCGGTGTTTTATGCTGGGACTGTAAAGGTTGTCTGCTGCTCATGGTGTTTGCGAGTTTCGGAGTTGGAGTTAAGTAAGCTCTCAGCAGTCGGTTGCCGAATTACCGACCTTGGCAAATGTATCTCTCGACAATGCCTGTTAGACTCCCACCGAAGCCCCGAAGACACGACAAGGCACAGCCGGAACCCTGTAGCAAAGTCGTGGTTCAGCTAGTAGTCAATCCAGACACATTTTCCGAGCTGAACATCATGGATGCCGGCCTGTTGAAGCCTTTTCTCTTAACAGTTTCCGTGTCCCGAGGCTGGAAATTTGAGCCCTGAAATCGGTCAGCTTAGGTGCTGAATCTGCTGTTCGGCATTCTGTTTGGCTTGATCTTTGCTGCTCGGGCTTGTGCACCCACGCGGTCCGTCATGGTTGAAAGGGTGAAGGGCTGTCCTTCCACACGCACAAAGTCGAGGAGTCCTACGGCCGGACCCAGAAGGAGGCAGGGAACCCCATCTCGGTGGTGGAGCAGACCCATAGCTGCAGTTCGTGCCGGGAGTAGAAATTTACCTTTCCGCCAATGTTCTTTAGATCATCGACTTGATGTCCCGGAGTGCGTAACTGTCACATGGCCGTTCGCGAAGCGAAGTCTCGCGGAAGACAAGGATCCGCCGGGCTGTGAAGGAGATGCCGCTGGCCTGAGTTCTTTTTCCCAGCGAGAGAGAGGCCTTGTGAATGAGAGAGAGAGACAGAGAGAGAGAGAGAGAGGTGGGGTTGGCCTTCGGGCCGGGGGTCTTGACCCCAAACCCCTAGCAAGCAAGCAAGCAAGAAAGAGAGAGAGATAATTTGGGCTTAAGTGGTTCAAGGTCCGAGCCCCTCAACCCGGCCGATTGAGGGGGGGAGCGCCAGTGCCTTCGTAGATCGCCATCGAGCTCAGGGGGGAACACTGCTCTACGCGTCTTCTCCGAGGGGGTTCTGCTCCGCGACTTCGGTGTGTACGGTCCTCCCCGGCAACCGCTGCTGAAGGCGTGCGGGGGACCATGACACCTGCAACGTTGAGAGGCATCGGCGAACCTACACATCTCCTGTCATCTCGGTGCGATCAGGCCCAAGATCGAAGGGTCGTCAAGTATAACCCGGGTGTGCAACGTGATACTATCACCACCCTGCCGAGAATGCACTCTTCCGCAGCTGGCCAGGAAACACCCACGAAGGGGGACATGCAAGTTGACCATCAAGGAAAAGCCCCTAAGAAGAGGCGAGCCCCAGAGAATGAAGGGAGTGGATTGTCTCTAGATGTGATCCGCGAGGCCATCCGGGGGAAACTGTAATATTGGAGGTATCCCAGGTCACAAAGCAGATGCAGCAGACGCTCAACCTGCTTGATGAGATGACAAACAAGCACGTGGAGATGACAAACAAGCACGTGGAGCACGGGCGGATCCTCCAGCAGCTACGAGAAGCCAACCGCGAAGTCCGTGCCCGCCTCGAGAGACTGGAAAAAGGCTGAAAAAGGAGGATTGCCGGCAGTACCGCCACCCGCTCTTCCGAAGGAGGCCGCCAACCAGCACTTGCCATTGGAGGCTGGGACCCAGATCAGGATGCGAAGATCACCAAGACAGAGGCAGAAGACGTCTTCAAATCCGTGGCGGCTCCTATCCAGGTCAGGAGGGGATAGGCAATTCTCCCTGTTGATGAACGACCCCTGGAAAGTGTCGAAGAGCGACGCCAAAGAGTCCAGGAGGTCACGTCCAAAGTCAGGGTCTTGGGTTTTGTAGGTTTTGCAGCAAATTCAAGGGCTAAGGTGGCATGAGTTGGTCCTTTGGCACTCTGCCACTTGTCATGGCTCGCCGAAGCCTGCTGATAAACTCAATGATAAGACCAAGTGCAAGCGCATTGACTATTGCCTGCGCTGCCTTGAAAAACATTGCCACTGTACGGACGGTTGTCAATGGGCGTGCGTCCATCGTTGCTGCTTTTGACTGGAAGGTTTTGCACGCTTGCGAGGTTGTACCTAGGGCAGTGTTGCCCATTCATGTTCCGGGCTCTGACATTCAGTTGGCACCGGCCCTCAAAAGGCGGGTTTCTCGCAAAAAAGACGTTACAACGGTCATTGCTCAGAGCAAGTGCAATCTTTGGAATGCGAGTTTCAAAGATGACCAGTCTCAGTCGCTGTCTTCCTGGCAATACAGAGCTGGAAACCTCCTTCCTGATCTGAAAAATCGCATGCACGAGCCAGTGAACAATTCTCACCGGGGTAGAGGCACTTGCACATTCATCATCCAATTGTTGTCTCCCGTCCAAGGGCCGCTTGCCCGGCACGGGGGGGGGGAACTACAGGGAAGGAAGCTGCCACTTTTGCTGCTCGCGGTAGGCTCAAGCAGTTGCGAAGACTTGGGCATGTTTTGCAGTTTCTTAGATCGGCTTTGAACCCTGGCGGTTTGGAGGCGTTTTCAGACTCATGGGGTTATACTCTTGCTTTGCCTCAGCGCGAGCTGAACAAACAGGAAGCCGTTGAGGTCTCGGTCGCTGCCTGCCCTGCGAGCTGTCAGGGGTATCGGTTGAGCCAGCGTTGCTTTTGCACTTTTTCATGTTGGTGCGGCATCGCCTTTGTAATGGAGCTGAGCGTAATGGTAGCGCGACGAGGTTTCGCGAGGCCCCCAACGCTGCCGGTACTAAGCAAGTTATACTGAGGATGCCTGCCTGTACGTTCGTAAGCAAAGGCAACAAAAAATGGTTGTTTTGCAGACTGATGAAGGGATAGCTGCTGTTGCCTCGGATATCAACCAGGCTCTTTGCGACCTGTGGTGTCCTTTTTGGCGTATGTCTTTCTGAGGGTTTTGATGAGGATGCGATTGCTGGCCTTGTTACGGGGTGTAGTTTTCCCGCCTTGGGTTCCCCCTCTCTCCGTCGAGGATGTTCAGAAGGCCATCAAGGCTAATTATGCTTACAGGAGTTGCTCGGGGAGCTGATGGTTGGAGGTCTGCAAAGCTCAAAGCTTTACCACTTGCCCGCTCTCTCGGCTGCTTTTCAGGAGGTTGAACGCACAGGGACATGGGATGAAAGTCAGCTGTATGCGTGGACGCAGCTCACTCTTAAGGTTGAAGATGGTCGTAGTAGTCCCCTACCCATTAAGCAGCGGCCAATCAACTTGCTCCCCATGTTGTGGTCCAGGGCCAGTGCAGGCAGCTTGTCCGCCAATTTTCGCAAGTGGCTCCGGATTGTCTCCCAGGTTTTCTCCGAGGGTGCTCGTGTCGCAGGCTTTGGTTAAAGCTGACATGGCATCTTGAGGATTGTATAGTCAACAATCGAACCCTTAGTGGGCTTGTTCTGGATGTTGTGAAAGCATTCAACATTCTTCCTACGACACTTTTCTTTCAAATCATGAAGGATATGTCTGTGCCGGAAGGTCTCCTCCAAACGTGGGAGGTCTCTCTCACAGGGCTGCAGTGTTGTTTTCGGATTCAGGGCGGCTTGCAAAAAAAGTTCATACTTTTAATGGGTTTCCCGAAGGAGTCTTTCGGTAGTGCCCATGATTTTATGCGGGTGGCTGTGGGCCACGCATGTGCAGAGGGCCCCGAACAGGGAATCTGAGTTCCACTATCAGCCATCAGACGTGCAAGCCACGCTGATAATTTTGAGGTTATTACAGAAGCGCCTGATCCCGCGGTTCTGCAAACTTTGCTCACGCGTAGCGAGGGTTTTGCCTCCCTGCTACACATTCAGCTTGCGCCAAAGAAAATGTTCGTTTGGTCCACTTCGCCCGCCTTTCGTAAACGCATGCGGGTGCAATCCTCTAACGGCGAGATGCTGGAGTGCAAGCTTCATGTTAGGGAGTTGAGGGTTTATCTCAATTTTTCAAGGATGAAGTGCAATCGATCCGATGCTGACCGCGTAACTGACGTTCAAGGCGAGCTCATTCGTTCTGCTTTTGCGCCCATTCGGAAGCCCATCAAGGCTGCCATTGTGCGTGGCAAGTATTGGCCTTATGCTCTTCACGCTTGTGAAGCAGCGACTGTCAGCAAGGACTTACGACATTCTGCCGGGCCACTCGTGAGTTTGCCTGTAATGCGCTCACATTCAATTTTTTGAATCCGGGTACGGACCATAAGGGTTTTCCGTGTTGGCGCCGGATTTTGGCGCTGCGGGAAAGGCTTGAGCGAGTGCAGTCGCTGCTCGTTGCCCGCCGTCACACAGCCTCCGAAGTTGGCCTTGCCAAGCACTTTAGTGAAGTTTGTGACGCTCTAGGTTGGGAGTTTAGGTTTGAGGGTAACTGGGCTCACTTCGCGCAGGGTTGGTTCTTTCCATTATCTCAGGGTTTCCATGGTCAGACTGAGGGGCATTTTTGAAGAGGATTTTGCAGATGTTTGGTCTTTGCGATGCTGGCGCCGCAAATACATGCGGGACTTACAGGGTCCGGAGACTTGCGTGGATGTTCAGGCCACTGGCTCTGCGCAACTCTTTGGACCCCGTGACCAATGCTTGCTTGATTCTGTTTTAGCAGGCGCCACATGGCAGCTCAAGCAACAAGGCCGCCGGGAGAAACAGGATACCGATGAAACTCGACGTTGTGAATGCCGGGCCTTTCCTCGCGGCTTGGGGCATGGCTGGATCCAGGGCTCACTTTTTCAGGAAGTCCGAGATGCCCACCCAGATGCGGTTTCTCTTTTGCGCGCGTTGCCGCTCAGTACTCAACGGTACGGCAATGTTGTCATACGGCCGCCACCGGATCGGCATCATTATGGATTCGGCTCCGGGCTGAACACCGGCATCGGTGTACTCGGGCGCGATGTGTTCACAAGTTCTTGGTTGCGGTGCAACACTGTGCAATGGATAAATTGCAGGAGCTGGTGTGCTTCAGGTTAAGCTCTTGGCTCACAGCTTGTTTGTCTGTGGGTGTCGTCCGTACTTTCACGAATGTTCTACAAACCTGCACTTTTGAACAGGGGCTCATTTTCTCATGGCACCGTGAGTGCTTTTAGTCTCTTTTAGTTGTGTGAAACAGCAGAATTTTCAGCCTCTCGACCAATGGCTCTCATGGCACTGCATTACGATGATTAATACTGCATGTGGTATGCCCAGAAGCAGATCTCGCTCCCCATTGTATAGTCCCTCATCGGACGTCGGACTAGGCAGGGCAGGTGGTGACAGCAGTAGCCGGAGTGAGGCTCCCGATCGTCGGTCTCGCAGTACTGGTCTTATTTCTGAGGATGGACTCTTTCGTATTTCGACCGACTCGCCTTGTATTTTTGCGCCGTCTGGTACATGGGATCAGGAGCCGGATGCTACAGCCACGTGAGTTGAAGTCTTTTTTGAATGATCCGTATCGGCCCTCTCACACTGAGTTCTTGGACACATTGGCAGAGCAGGTCTTCATGTATCGTATTAGCCCTCCTCTGCAAAGAAGTCTCCTTATGATATATATTCAAGACCAACGGGAAAGACTTCGACGACTGGCAGATCAAGGACTATCCTGCATCATTTCCGCATGTGAAGTTCTGTCAGCTCCAGCATCTCATGCCTTTTTGCCC